AATTTCAAGACGAAGACGATTAAGTGTAGATATTCCAAATGATTTCTAAAATTAGAATCACCAATTTGCCTTTTGAAGAAAGTTTGTAATTTTACGAAAACTTCTCAGATCAGCTCTCTTAAGCCCTTTTTAGTGGAAACGACAACAGTCGAGCAAACCACTACGACACGAACTAGACCTACGAGACCAACTACAAAGAAAGTTACGCACAAGAAACTGCACCAGAAAACCACAAAACTCATCTCCAAAACCCCGAAGACGACTACGTCGACGACGCTGACGACTACAACACCATCGACAACGACTCCTACATCGACATCGACAACAACGACTTCAACAATGAAGACGGAAGTTTCTGATGCTATTAGCAATGACATCGATGAGGATGAGGAAGTAAGGAATTAAATATTTTGTTTGTGTTATTTAGCCCCTTAATATTCATTACATATCCTAATTATCTTATTAGGTTTTTAAAAATTTTAATGATCCATGTAGTCCTTCCTACAAAAATTTCTTTTGCATTCTCTCATTCCTTTTCTGGGGTGATTTTCTGTTCTTCTTTCTAAAAGAGCGTAAAAACTGGCTCTGATTGATATTCTACGCAACAAATCTATATGCAAATACGTTTTCGTTCCCATCGCCGTCCTCTGAGTCATCCTAAATCTACAGGGATTTTCCTGGTCAAGACACAAATCTAGAGAAAAATCAGTTATTATTAGAACTGGAAATTTTGAGCAACCACCTGAATGTAGACTTTGCCATTTTGTGAAAGTTCTATTTTTCTTCGCTCTCTTGGGATTCTTCTCGATTTGATTTTCAATAAAAAGGCGAAGACTTTTTGCAAAAAAAGAAGTTTTTATTGTTGGGAAGTGACGTAAAATGTTCCTCTAACAAGCGTTTTTCTAAATGTTTCAGATTTCATTTTACGGTGACCACAGCAAATTTAATTTTGAAATCGAAGTTTCTAGGCTCTCCCTCTTCCAACCGAATCCGAACTTGACGACACTTTTGATGAAACCCGGAGACGCCTAAATGAGGAGATGCGAGAGGAGGACGAACGACTTCAACAGCTTTTGGCAGACGAAGAAGCTGAGATGATCAGCGACGATGATGAAACGAAAGAGGAACGTGAAGAGCAGAGGCGTAAAGAACGAGAGCGGAATCGAATGGAAAGGTTTGTGCACATTGTGCAACCACTTACAGTTCAGTTTACGCGCACATTAAAACCTCACTTCCAGAAAAGAAAGGGCGCGAGCTGATGAAAGACGTCGATTAACAGAAGAAGAGACATTAAGAAATAATGAAAGATCACAGAAACATCGAGAAAC